ACAAACAATGGCCAGGCTCTCTCCCTATTGTACATTCTGTATTCATTTGTGAGTCCCCCCCCCCCTTTTTTTGCACAATGTGCAAAGTCCTTCTTTTCAGCAGGGAAGTCCTGAATGCCCAAGTGCAGCCATAAATTTAGGCTTTAAACATCGATAACGAGAGTTAAAAAGCAAACTGCAGATTCTGCCCCAACATTAATTTGTGAGGATCATTTGAGTCACATTCATGGCTTTTGGATGCCATCCATTAAATCATGATCAAAAGAAACACTGAACACCTTGAAAATGGTTCTGAAGTTTTTAGCAATGATTAAGTATAATTTTCCAAATCCAGAGATAGGGCTTAAAAAAAAAAACAACAAAAAACCTTTCATACATCTTCGATACATATTCCATCAAACACAGACTTGAAGAAAAAAATTAACTTCTCGAGCTCGTCCGTGGGGAGAAGGCTTGCGTTTTCCCTCCTTTCCCAGTGTGCTGTAACTTTAACTGTAGCAGTGTGAATTAGGACATGCTCACCAGCTGTAAGGGAGAAAACTGATATCTACCCAGGCAGTGTGGCCTCAGAGTGTATCCATTCCAGCATTTTCATGTGCCTACTAAAAGTTTTTCAGTAGTCCACGCGAGCATTCCTGAGCTAGCAATTCACGGGAAGATCTTGGAGGAAAAGGCACCCCGATATTTCACTAGACCGAGTCACTTCTGCTAAGTCCAAGTACTTCTCTTCAAAGGGTTGGGCAAACTGCACTCCCATTTTTTTAATTACTACAAACCTGTGTTCCAGCCTCTGTGCTGGAACTATCAGCCATGCATTGGAAGTATTACCTGAGTTATGCCCTGCCCAACAGATAAATTTCCTCTCCTGATCATGTACTTTATGACTATATGTCTGTGGCCTGTATCAGGGACACGGGACACTTAGCCTGCTGCTTGTCACTGATAGAAAGATTATTCACGGGACCCAGGCTGCACTCACATTATGATGACAGCCCTTCTATATTGAAATGACAGTGGTAAAAAAAATGATAACGGGGATGGCCATTCCCCTTTAAATTTGTTCCATTTAGGGAAAGCGTCAAATGCAGAGGGTGTAACTGCATTCAAAAGTGATTCACGAAGGAAAAGACTTTTGATAAATGGCAATCTGGTGCTAGATCTCAAAGGAGGGGTGTGCCTGAGATTCGGGCCCTTTTTGTTTTTAATCCGCAAGAATCTCAAGGATTTCAAGTGGTGTGAGCCATCCTGAGCTCCCTCTGCTTTAGTATTTTAAACAGTTCCCAACAATATCCTTTTCAAACCCTGGGGCAGTGCTTGTTCAGTTCTGATTTTATACACTCATCATTTCCTGACCTTGTAGCTAGCTACGCCGAATGCTGCAAGAGATGCGGGTTGACTCTGTAGTTTTGTTTGTTCGTTGTTGTTGTGGCTGTGTTTCATGATCTCTCTTTAAAACACTTCCCAGACTTAGAGATGCAATTTCTTTGCGGGGGGGGGTGGGGTGGGGGGTGGTTTAAAAGTCAAGAGTAAAGTTATCGATTATTCCCTGAAAGGATAACTGATTGGCTAGTTAATGATTATACAGATAGCCAAGTTTTCCTGTTTCATCTTGTGTACACGACCAGATGAACAATGCCAAGGAAAGCAAACTCGACCCTGCAGGGACAGGAACAGGTGTGCCCTGAGTCTTAAAAGGCCAAAATATCTCACAAAGTATGTCACTGGTGTATTTTTACAATGCTAGTAGTGTTTGTTTTTAAGTAGCCAAACTTTTTTACTTTCTTAACCTTAAGAAGACACACTTGGCAAATATTTCTTCTTTGAGTTGATGACTAAGTCCCAGAATAAGTTGCAACTTGTGCCTAGCAAAGAAATACATTTTAGGGACAAAGAAGTTTTTTAGAAAAATCAGAGTTAAGAAAAGGTAATTCACCCTGCCCCTCCCCCAGGAGAACACCCTTTCAAGGGCCAGTTTCAAAAGACCCCAAGTGAAGTCATAAACAACACAGGGCTTGGAGCTCAAACTGCAGAGCCACACCACCCTCCACTCAGCCTTATTAAGGTACAGTTAGAAATGAGGGAGACAACAGACCCACCCCCCCAGCCTTATCTTCCCAAACAGTAAAAAGGATTAAACCAGAAGCACCTTGTCAGGTTCAAAACGAGTTCTAAAGCCAAGATTTTAAAATTCCCTCTAATAACTGCTTTCTACAGGGACAAACCGGGGTCCCCTACCCCTGAGGCACAGAAAAACCAATCAGTGCCATAAATTCCCTTTGCCTTCAACCCTCACTCCCTTGTACTGGGGGCAAAGTGGGGGGAGGGGGTGACCTGACATCAACACTTACACTAAACCCCTCAACGCTCTACAGGAATATGCTGGCTTATTTCCTTTGTTTGGTCCTGTTATACTTGATCAAGTGTGAACGATTAAACTGGCTTCATTAAAGGCAAGTGCATTCACGGCTAACATACAACTTCAATGGCAACTGTAAGCATATTTTGCAAGAAGGAGGGTCTGCTTTTTTGCTTGAAACCTACCATCTCATTAACTCTTCTTTGGGGGGCAATAAAAAGGGCACCAGGGTTTTGTTGTTTTTTTTTTTTTACAGGAGAGTGTCACTGTGGTTCAGAGATCTGATGGCAGACAAAAGGATTTTTAGTGTTTCAACTCTAGGATATAGTCCCTGTTACTTAAAAAAAAAAAAAAAGAAAAAAGAAATTGTTTCAATATTAAAGCTGCTCTGACTTAAAGTGTTTAATTAGCATTTTGAATATCACTTTATAATTGCTGTAAGAAGTACTCTTTGAAATCAAATGATTATAAAAACAAGATCCTTTAAAGTACCATTACTTCAAAATGTAAAGGATTTACTTAAAAATTTTTTCAAAACACTGGAATTCTCCTAAGTACAAGAAAACTAACTAGTTCTACTGTGAGAGCCCTAGAGGCAGAACAGCAGTCTCAGGTACTGAACACGAGGTAATTTTAAAACTGTCTTTGAACCCAAGCACCTAGTAGAGAACCTTCTTTGAAAAAGTAGTAGGAGAGTTTTAATATATTTCGCCAAAGTCGGGAGGCAGAACCACTTTGTAAACTAACCAAAATATACGTCCCCTCCAAATTATCCATGTCAGATAAAAATATACCAGTCTCTAGAATATCCAACAGAATTGCAAATAAGGCACTTAGCATTTTAAATTCCCAATGCATATTTATAGGATACAATTCTCTGGTCTACCCTTCAAGCCACTCATATCTGACTCTCGAAGAACTTAACCTGATCTCCAATCTTTGGAGAAAAAAGGTGGGAAAAAAATCCAGAAAGATCTGTTTACCCTGGAGAGGGCAAGTGAGTCCGGCATGACGACGTAGGCCACCGCAAGGACGCAGAGCGAGCGCGGCTTTCTACGAAAAATTCCTCCTTTCCCCTGTAAAATACTAAACATGGGGACCCCTGGAGCCAGCTGCTGCTTGGGGCTGCCTCCGGGAAAAGTATTCGGGGCCGGCGGGGGGGCCACCCACACACTCGCTCGCACACGCACACTCAGGGTCCGTGACCATCCGCCGCGGCCGAGAGCGAGCCACCGGAGGGTGTGTGCGCGCGTATGTGTCTCGCCGCGGCCGGCGGTGACCGCGCCGAGCTCCCGGGCCCGCGGCCTCCGAGCCCCAGGACGCTGCGTGGGCTGCGGGCAAGCAGCTACGCCGCGGGCCTCCCGCCGGAGAAAGGCCCCGGCGCGCCCGGCTGCCGCGCGCCTCTGCCCAACTTGCCCCGGAGCGCTGGGCAGAGCGCGAGGGAGAGAAAGAAAGGCGCTTCCCTTCGGCCTCGCGGGTCAGTCCTGCGCCGCAGAGGACGAGGAGGAAGAGGCGACCGCGGCGGCCCGGCTGTCGCTACGCCGCGCCGGGTCCCCGCCGCCCGGGGCGCGCCCTCGCCAGCCCCTCCTGCGAAACTTTTTCTTTTTGGTTCGCCCCACCCGAAAAGTGCAGCCCGGGAGGGGGAGGCGGGCAGACCGGGTTCGCGGCGGCGGCGGCGGCGGCGGCGGCGGCGGGCGAGGAGGAAGTGGTGCCCGCGGGAGCGCGGACGGGCAGAGGAAATGCCCGGCCCGCTGGGCCCCCGCCCGCGCCCGCCGCCCGGCCAGCCCCGGGCCCCCGCCCCGCTGCGACTTTGGCGGGCCCAGCCCGGCGCGGCAGTGGCGGCGGCGGCGGCGGCAGATGTGGCCCGGGCTGCCCGGAGGAGCCAACAATGCGGGGCCGGCAAAACAAAAGGGTTCCACTTCGCCTCCTTTCCCTTCTTCCACTTGCGCTCCCGGGGCGCCGCGCGGGATCCCCGGCCAGCAGGGGCCGCTCCCCTGGGGCCCTGAGCCGCGCGCGCCCCGGTTTCCCCGCGGACCCCCGCTCTCCCCCCACCCCGCCCCGCAAGCCTAAGGCCCCGCGCGCTCGGACTCCCTGTCCCGGGGGAGCCGGCCGTATTGTCCCCGCGGCGCGCCGCGCGCTCGGCCTGGGTCGCGGGCGGCCCCCGCGCGCGCACCCACCGGCCTCGGGGAGCAGGAGCCGGGGGCGCCTAGGAAACCGTCGCCGAGACGCCGCCGCCGCCGCTGCCCTCCGGACGCCGCCGCGCTCGGGATTTCTTTTTTCTTTTTTCTTTTTTTTTTTTTTTACCAATCCTGATGGGAAGGAAGGTGACCGCCTACTTCGCATTCATCAACTCTCATCACAACAACAAAAATCCTGGCACAAACGGCAACCGGCGGGCGCGATCGGCGGCGGGGGGTGGCAGGCAAGGACCTCCAGGCCGGCTCCCACCCCCGGGCGCCAAGCGGGGACACGGGGGCGCAGACCAAAGATGTCCTCGGATGCCGGCTCCGTGTCCTTCGCCCTCCTCCTCCCCCCCCAACACGGCGAGTGGCGCAGTGAGGCGCGGGCGCGGCGCCCCCAGCCCGCGGCCGCAGGTGAGGCGGGGGCGGCAGCGGCCCCAGCCCTCCCCCGGGGCCCCTCTTACCTCGTCCCGGGCCGCCGGCGTCCACGGCGAAGGGCGCCCACCCGGGAGGCGGCGGCGGCGGCGGCGGCTCCCGCCCCTCCCACCCCACCCGGCGGCGGTGGCGGTGGCGGCGGCTGTGCGGCCCCCCCTCAGCGCGGCATGGCTCCCGGCTCGGTCCCTCGCTCCTCGGGCCGCCGCCGGCTTCTCTGGGCCGCTCCCGGGCCACCTTAAAATGACACACGCACACAGGGACACACACACAAAAACTTAATCTCTCCAGCTCCCCGCCCCTCCCCCTCCCGCCCTTCCCTCCCCTCCCTGTCTCTCCCCTCCCCTCCCCACCCTACCCCTCCCCTTCCCTTCCTCCTCCTCCCCTCGCCGCCGAGCCTCTTCCTACTTCCCCACCCACCCCACCCCCTTCCTCCGCCCACCCGGCTCCCGAGCCTCCCCACCCCAGTCCCAGCCCCGCGCCGACTGGCCGGGAGGGGGCTGCGCTGGGGGTCCCCGGCCCGCGCTCGCCCCGCGCCGCGCTCACCCCCAAGAGGATGCTAATTCCAACTTGGATCGGGGGAGGGAGCGTCCTGGATGCCTTGCGCCTCCCGGCTATTTGCTCTTCTTTATTTGTTTTCTCCTCCGGGGAAGGAGGCGGAAAAGGGAGAGAAAGGGAAAGGGAAAGAAGCGGCGCCGGCCGCGTCGCCCGGTGCCCGCCGGCTGCGCAGGAGCGAGGCGGGAGGCGAGGTGAGGGTCGCCGCTCGCTCACTCCTCGCTCCTTTTTTTTTTTTTTTTTTTTTTTGGGTAAAGGCGGGGTCTCTCTTTGCAAACCAATGACACAACCCCACATGGGCCGGCCTCGCCCCCTACAGATACTCCTCACTACAAATCGGCTCTCTCGGGGGATTAGTGGCTCCGCGAAAGTGCACACAGGCGCGGCTGGCGGCCGAGGGGGCCGGGCGCGGCGGGCGCTCCCCGGCCCGGCCCCGCCCGGGAGGCCCTCGCGAAGCGCTGGGGCCTCGGCGGCGGGGGCGGGGGTCCCGCCACGGCGGCCGGGAGTCGGGCCCTCCCTCCGCTCCCCTTCTTCCTCCGCGCCTTCCACGTGGGGCCCCGGGCGGCCGGCCACGTGGGGGGACGCGAGCCCAGGCCGGCCTGGGCGCAGCGCCCCGGGGTGGCCCTGGCCCCATCGGGCCCCCGCCTGGCCCGCGGCGCCGACCTGCCCCCTTCCCGGCCCCGCGGCTCCAACTTCCTCCTGGGCCGCGCGCCGGCTGCTTCTGCCTTCTCGGGCCCGCGGGGTCAGGCGCGGGCCGGCCACAGGGGGCACTTGCGCTCCCCAAATCCGGATCCGGGAGACGGTGCCCGCGCCTTGCCGGAGAGGCGGCGATGGCTGTGGGTGCGCGGGAGGGGCCCTGTGTGCTGGAACTTGCAGCGGTTGTGTTCCCTACAAGAAGCAAAACATTTTTTACACATTAAAAAAAAAAAAATGTTCCTTCCTGTTGCCTGGATCTCGCCGGGGCTATTTTTAAAAGCCTTGCTTTGGGTGGGAGCTCCCGGCCTCGCGGGGCGGAGACGCGCGGCGGCCTGGGGGGCCCGAGGGTAGGGGTCCTGGGCTTGCGCGGCGCCCCGACGCCGCGAGGTTACAGTCTGGACACCAAAGCTAGGGATCAGGCCGCGCGCCGGCCGCACCTGGATTAAATTCAGTGCCCGTGACCTGAGGCGTTGGAGCCCTGTTTGCGAAGGGAGTCGGCGGCCACGGACGGGGAAGGCTCTTCCCCCTGCGCCCCAGAGCCCCTCGAACTCCTCTCACTTCCCCGAGGTCGCCGCGCGCCGTCCAAGAGCCCCGTGGAGGTTGAACGGAGCCCCCAGTGTCGGTGTTTTAAAACTATATTGAGATGTTAGGAACTGGATTGAGATGTTGAGCAGGAAAGGCATGAGGAGGGGTGTGAGGTCGGGCCTCTGCAGGCCGCAGGCATGACCGTTCTGGAAGCCCAGACGCTCGGGTTGGACTCCGGCGGCCCGGCAGGGCACCACACCCCACGGAGCCGAGGAAACGTCAGGTAGGGCCTGCAGGCCAGAGGAAGGGCCGCGGAGCCGCGGAACCCTTCCTGCATCCCGAAGGGAGCTGCTCTAGGCCTGTCCGTCTATTCACAATTTTTAAAAACTCCTGCTCCGGCCCGCAGCAGGGGAGAGGTGCTCACTGCTGGTTTGCTAAAGTGCACCCAGACGTGCCAAGTGCGGCCGGCCATGCGGGGTGGGGGGTGGGGGGGCGCTTGACTTCTAATGATTCATCATCAAACAGTAGGTTTTAAAACTCGATGGAAGACCTCCCACAGTGATGGCCCAGGCATTTCACACCCGCTAGCTCAGTAACTAAGATGTTTATCACACGGCCTGAATAGGCCGGGCCAGCCCAGCTACGTGGCTCTTGGGTCTGTGGTTCTGTCGGAAAAACTCCCAGACGTGCCCTCCCAGTTGTCTCCATCTTCTGGCGACCCCAAATCGTCACAAACATCGTCAGGGCCCTCCTCCCCTCAGCAGTGTTGCCTCAAGGTCATGGGGCCTAGGATAGTTCTGGGCGATTCGACCCGCCCACCCCCAGGCTACTGGGCTGCTGGCAGGTGACTTTGTTTCTTAGGCATAAACTGTAAATAACCGTAACTAAAGCACAAATGCTTCCTTATTTCACAGATGATCATTGGTTCTGAGTGGCCATCTCTTCTCTCCCAGAAACCACAAAAAGTCAGCTGGTTTTTCCTATCACTTGTTCGTTTTCTTGTCTAACAGGAATGCGATTAATTTAGGAATTCGACCTCACTCTTCTTGTTTGGAGAGTGTTTAAAAAGAAGGCATTCTCAGAGACAAAAATTATTTTTCATTTCAATTTGACACCCTGTATTTTAAAATATTAAACCCATTTAACCCCAGCATGTGAATTATTTCAAACTCCAATTGTTTTTTTAATGTTCCAAAAAACAAACCAAAAACCCAGCCCAATTCAAAAATGGGCAAAGACTTGAACAGACATTTTTTTTATTTTTAAGATTTTATTTGTCAGAGAGAGACAAACAGGGGGAGTGGCCGGCAGAGGGAGAAGCCAGCTCGCAACTGAACAAGGAGCCCCAATGGGGGATCCCAGGCCCCCAGGATCATGACCTGAGCCAAAGGCAGATACTTAACCAACTGAGCCACCCAGGCATTCCTTGAACAGACACTTCTTAAAGGACGATATACAAATGCCCAATGAGCCCATGAAAAGATGCTCAGCATCACTAATCATCTGGGAAATGCTAATCAAAACCACAGTATATACCACTTCACGTCCATAGGGATGGCTATTATAAACCATAATAACAAGTGTTGGTAAAGATGTGGAGAAATGAGTAAACATATGCACTGCTGGCAGGAACGTAAATTGGTGTGCGCACTATGGAAAACAGCGTGGTAGTTTCTCAAAAAGTAACGTAGATTTACTATATGATCCAGTAATTCCAATTTTAGGTGTTTCCCCAAAAGAATGAAAAGGTCTCAAAAAAAATTGGGGGAGCCTGGGTGGCTCAGTCGTTAAGCGTCTGCCTTCGGCTCAGGTCATGATCCCAGGGTCCTGGGATTGAGCCCCGCATTCGGCTCCTTGCTCCGCGGGAAGCCTGCTTCTCCCTCTCCCACTCCCCCTGCTTGTGTTCCCTCTCTCGCTGTGTCTCTCTCTGCCAAATAAATAAATAAATAAAATCTTAAAAAAAAAAAATTGAACACCAATGTTCATAGAATTATTCACAATAGCCAAAAGGTGTGAATAACTCAAATGTCCATCCAAGAATGAATGGATAAACAAAATATGGATATATATGTGAAATGGAATATTATTAAGTCTTCAAAAGGAATGAAGTTCTGATACCTGCTCTCATAGGGATGAACCTTGAGGACATTATGCTAAGGGAAATAAACCAGAGGACAAAAGGACAAATATTATATTATGCCACTTATACGAGCTATCTAGAATAGGCAAATTCACAGAGACAGTAGAATGGAGATTACCAAGGGCTGGGGGGAGGGAGAAGGGGGAGTTATTGTATAATGGGCACAGAGTTTCTGTTTGGAGTGCTGAAAAAGTTCTAGAAACGGTGATGGCGGTGGCTTACGAAACATTGTGAATGTGCTTAAAGCCACAGAACTATACATTTAAAAATAGATAAAATGATAAATTTTATGTTATATACATTATACCACAATATTTTTTAAATGTTGCAAACTAGCTTTTGTCTTACAGACCTCTTGGTTTATTTTTATTACTAGACATAAAGATATTTTTCAGTAAGAAAAAAACATTAAGGGGCGCCTGGGTGGCTCAGTCGTTAAGCGTCTGCCTTCGGCTCAGGTCATGATCCCAGGGTCCTGGGATCGAGTCCCACATCGGGCTCCCTGCTCCGCGGGAAGCCTGCTTCTCCCTCTCCCACTCCCCCTGCTTGTGTTCCCTCTCTGGCTGTGTCTCTCTCTGTCAAATAAATAAATAAAATCTTAAAAAAAAAAAAAAACCAAAACAATAGTAGCAACAAATGTTTCTCCATGGCTCACTAGGGTGCCTGGCACTGGGCTAAGCCATGGACATGCATCTTTAATCCTCAGAGCAGACCCTTACAAGAGATACTAGTATTATTCCCATTTTACAGATGAAGGAAACTGAGCTTCAAAGGATTACTGACTTCCCCAAGGTCACACTGCTGGGGAGTGAGGAGGTAGGCTTGGACCCCTGTCTGCCTTATTTTGACCACTCTTCTCCCCCATTTCAAGAAGGGCTTCTATTTACATAGATACACATTCATTTAGCATGGACTCAGAAAAGGTGAAGTTACTTTTGTTTTTTTTTTAATATTTTATTTATTTGTCAGAGAGAGAGCACAAGCAGGGGGAGTGGCAGGCAGAGCAGGCAGAGGGAGATACAGACTCCCCGCTGAACAAGGAGCCTGATATGGGACTTGATCTCAGGACCCTGGGATCATGACCTGAGCCGAAGGTGGACGCTTCACCGACTGAGCCACCCAGGCGTCCCAGTTAGTTACTTTTGAAACATTAAAGATGCATCTTATTTGAAAGGTTTTGTTTGTTTTGTTTACTAATGTGACTGCAATCTAATCTTTAGAGGGGGGTTAAAAAAAAAAAAAGGAAAGCCCCCAAAT